TGACTCTTCGTGACCTAATGGACCAGCCCATGCCAAGAACTCCCTGTCAGCTGTGACCACCCCCCAGTTCTTTCGAAGTCAAGCCAGTCACTTCAAGAATACCATCCATCCATCTTGCCCTTGGTCTGCACCTCTTCCTTTTTCCTTCCATTTTCCCCAGCATCCTTCTCTTTTCCAAACTTTCTTATCTTCTCATGATGTGGCCAAGGGACTTCATCTTTGCCTCTCATATCCTTCCCTCCAGTGAGCAGTCAGGCTTTCTTTCCTGATGGATGGACTGGTCGGATCTTTTTGTGGTTCAAGGAACTCTCAGCATTTTCCTCCAACATCACAATTCAAAAGCATCTATTTTCCTTAGCTCAGCCTTCCTTATGGTCCAGCTCTTGTATCCATAGGTTACTATGGGGAATATCATGGCTTTACAGATGTCGGCTCTTCAGTTTAGAAATGGAGATTAGCACCAACCCCCAGAATCAGACACGACTGGACTTAATGTCTGGGGAAAACTTTTACCTTTACCTAACTATGTGGACCTCCTTTGCCAGTGTGATGTCTCTACTCGTCACTATTCTACAATTGTTTGTTTGTTTGTTTGTTTGTTTGTTTGTTTACCCAATTTGCACCCTGCCCTCCTCACCCCCAAGGGGATTCAGAGCGGCTTACAAACTATGGCAAAAATTTGATGCCGCATCATCCACATAACATTAAACATACCATATTAAATTATAAAACAGAACACGTAAACAGTTAAAAACATATAAAACAGAAGTACAGAGAAATACAGATTAAAACAGAAGAAGCGGAGGAGGAGGAGGAGGAGGAGGAGTAGGAAGAGGAAGAGGAAGAGGAAGAAGAAGAAGAAGATCATCCAGATCCACTGGCTGGTGATTTGCTACCAAGCACAATTCAAAGTGCTGGCTTTGACCTTTAAAGCCCTAAATCAGTGTTTCTCAACATGGGGGGCCAGGACCTTTGCAGGGAGTCGCGATGGGATTTCAGAGGGGTCACTAAAGACCAGCAGAAAACATAGGTTTCTGATGGTCTTAGGAACCTCTTTAGCAGAGAAGGCTGAAGATCTCTCCCCCTGTCCTCTTCTTTTTTGGAATCAAAGAATCCTCCCACCAAAAGCCCCTGTCTACTGTGATTGGCCGGCCTCTAAGCCAAGGTGAGGGCAGTTTCTGAGACTCCCAACAGGGAGAGGAGAACAGGTGTGCCCAGTACATGGCAGCATGGTGTGCATGTGTGGGTGAGGGAGAGCGTGCGAGGCTGGAGGGAGCCCCTTGCCAGCGAGTTTCTTCAAGGCATGGGGCTTCTGTGTGCAAAGTTTGTCCCAATTCTATCGTTGATGGGGTTCAGAATGATCTTTGACTGTAGGTGAACTATAAATCCCAGCAACTACAACTCCCAAATGTCAAGGTCTATTTCGCCAAACTCCACCAGGGTTCATATTTGGGCATATTGAGTATTTGTGCCAAGTTTGGTCCAGATCCATCATTGTTTGAGTCCACAGTACTCTCTGGATGTAGGTGGACTACAACTGCAAAACTCAAGGCGAATGCCCACCAAACCCTTCCAGTATTTTCTGTTGGCCATGAGAGTTCTGTGTGCCAAGTTTGTTGGTGGAGTTTAGAATACTCTTTGATTGTAGGTAAACTATAAATCCCAGCAACCACGACTTTCAAATCTCAAGGTCTATATTCCCCAAACTCCACCTGTGTTCACATTTGTGCATATTGAGTATTTGTGTCACGTTTGGTCCAGACCCATCACTGTTTGAGTCCACAGTGTTCTCTGGACATAGGTGAACTACAACTCCAAAAGTCAAGGTCAATGCCCACCAAACCCTTCTAGTATTTTCTGTTGGTCATGGTAGTTCTGTGTGCCAAGTTTGGTTCAATTCCATTGTTTGAGGAGTTCAGAATTCTCTTTGAATGTAGGTGAACTATAAATCCCTGCAACTACAACTCCCAAATGTCAAGGTCTATTTGCCCCAAGCTCCACCAGTGTTCATATTTGTGCATATTGAGTATTTGTGCCAAGTTCGATCCATATCTATCATTGTTTTATTCCACAGTGTTCTCTGGACATAGGTGAACTACAACTCCAAAAGTCAAGGTCAATGCCCACCAAACCCTTCTAGTATTTTCTGTTGGTCATGGTAGTTCTGTGTGCAAAGTTTGGTTCAATTCCATTGTTGGAGGAAGTCTGAATTCTCTTTGAATGTAGGTGAACTATAAATCCCTGCAACTACAATTCCCAAATGTCAAGGTCTATTTGCCCCAAACTCCACCAGTGTTTATATTTGTGCATCTTGAGTATTTGTGCCAAGTTCGATCTGTATCTATCATTGTTTTATTCCACAGTGTTCTCTGGACATAGGTTAAGTTAAACTCCAAAAGTCAAGGTCAATGCCCACCATATTCTCAAATACTAGAGAAAGTGAGGTTGGCAGACTTGCATATCCAGGTAGGATGGGTAGCCATGTGAGATCCAGGGATCTTCCATTTCTCAACTTCCTGCTCTGAGAACACAACATTTTGTTTGCAACTGGTAGACGGGGGAAATAGAAAACCCTATTTACTTTTCAGAAGGAAAATAATCTCAGCAAAGATGGGAGGGAGACCACAAGTTTGGCTGGTAATGTATTTATCACTTCTTACATGGTCTGGCAGTCAAAGTTGCTAAGCAAAATGGAGATTATGAGGCTTCTGGGGGGGGAGAAACATACTTGAATTTCTTCTACATCAGCAAAGTGCGGGACGGAGTGTTATTAGCAAAGTTTCCACCAAACACTCCAAGAGATCAGCTTTTCCTTCGTGGGGTATAGATTACAGCTACCCATACCACATTGGTCCCAAGGCAGTCAGCTGTGATGATTTTAATGCTAAAAGAAATGCCAAACCCCATTGACTTAACCTCTTGGTTCTTTCTGTATCTTCATCATTGGGGGTGCCGATTGACCTTAGTCATTTATGATAATCTAAACTATTTTTCCCCTATCAGTACTTATAGGTGTGCTGCTGTCACATGAAAAAAATGTATTTTTTATTGTACTACAAGAGTAGGAAAACTGTTGTCCTCCAACTGTCTTGTATTTGCAAAACCTCTTGTAATTGCCTGGGCTGTCTGAAGATGGTGGGAGTTACAGTCAAACACAGAGGGATTACTTACCTACTTAGGCAATCCCTCATAGCCCGAGGATGATGGCTCTCCAAGTCTGGTGTCTTGGCAGTGGATTCGTAGGTGGCTGTGGAGCCCTATTCTTGATTTGCATGTTTTCCCACAGTGAGGACATCGGTTTCCAGATGGAAAGTGATCCTGGTCAGGGTTGGCATGATGCGCCTTCCTCTTGGCACATTTCTCCTTTTCGCCTTTCATTCATGCCTCTTCGAATTCTGCAGCACTGCTGGTCACAGCTGACCTCCAGTTAGAGTGCTCAAAGGCCAAGGCTTCCCAGTTCTCAGTGTCTATGCCACAGTTTTTAAGGTTGGCTTTAATCCCATCTTCAAATCTCTTTTCCTGTCCACTAACATTATGTTTCCCATTCTTGAGTTGGGAGAAGAGTAACTACCTTGGAAGACAGTGATCGAGCATTCAGAAAATGTGGCCGGTCCAGTGGAGTTGATGGCGTAGGAGCATTGCTTCAGTGCTGGTGGTCTTTGCGTCTTCCAGCACACTGACATGTGTCCACCTGTCTTCCCAAGAGATTTGCAGGATTTTTCAGAGGCAATGCTGATGGAATCATTCCAGGAGTTGAGTGTGACATCTGTAGACAGTCCAAGTTTTGCAGACGTATAGCAGGGTTAGGAGGGCAATGGCTTTATAAACAAGCACCTTGGTTTCCCTACATATGCCCCAATCCTCAAACACTCTCCGCTTCAATCAGAAAAATGCTGCACTTGCAGAGCTCAGGCAGTGTTGCATTTCGGTGTTAATGTTGACTTTTGTGGAGAGGTGGCTGCCAAGGGAGCAGAAATGGTCAACATTTTCTAATGTTACACCATGAAGTTGTATTTCTGGCATTGCAGAGCTGGTGACCGCTGAGAGAGCACTTTGGTTTTCTTGATGTTCAATGAGAGGCTGGGCTTCTTGTATGCTTCTGCAAAGGTGTTTAGGTCTTCTTCTGAAGGCACATAGACTATGTTGTCATCAGCATATTGGAATTCTATAACAGATGTTGTTGTGACCTTGGTGTGTCTTTCAGTCTGTTGAGGTTAAATACCTTGCCAGAGGGATTGTCTACCAGTGTCACAGAGCATATACCAGAGACAGAGACCAGAAGAGGATGGCTACAGGAGAGCAAACATTCTTCTTAGCAGTGATTCTCAACCTGTGGGTCCACAGATGTTTTGGCCTTCAACTCCAAGAAATCCTAACAGCTGGTAAACTGGCTGGGATTTCTGAGAGTTGTAGGCCAAAACACCTGGGGACCCACAGGTTGAGAACCACTGTCTTAGGATCAAATGACACAATATCCATCCTCAGAAGAGTTACTCTCTCACAGGGTGGAAGGCAGCTATTTGCCCAACGTTAGCATTTGGATGGGTGACCGCCAACAAATACCAGGTGCAATAGAGTTAGGTTTATAGAATTGAAACATAGGTATCATATTCTCCAACATCACCTCTCTCCAGGAAACCTTATTAGAGAGTTACCCTATATATTTATAAGTCTAAATATTTTTTTAATGACCCAAAAATCCTGGATCAACTTATCCATGGGTCAATGTAAGTACTATATCTTAATTCTCATCAAAAAGAAAACCATCTCCATCTCTGAGTAGAGTGGCAAAAGGCAAGAGCTTAGTCCATCCAAGGAGAACCTATAAGTAGATCAACCCCTTTAATTATTTCTCTTGACTTATCCATGGATCTTATCAATATCCATCATTTCGTCCTTAAAGATTTCCCTTGTCTTATACAAGAGGTCAACTTATACATGAGTGTGTATGGTAAATGCCACAGGAGCCTAAGGTAGTACAATGGAGAAGTTGCACTTACGTCACTGAGCCTCTCTCGGGAACTGCTCCGATGGAAGCCTTTGGATTCACCACTGGCACTTTCGCTGTCACTGTCCCGGCAGCTGTTCTGGCCTGGATTAAGCTGTAAACAAAAGACAAACAAACATTAGCTTTAATTAATAGTTTCAATGTTTAATTCTATTTTAACATTCATAGGTTGTCTATGTTTTAAGCCATATTTTGAGTGTTAGCTGTTTGGAGTCTCTTTTTTTTAGAGAGATAAAGTGGGATAATAATAATCTATATAAATAAAAATGTAAACGTCCGTTTGTGAATGACCTCAAATCTCCCAAAATACTTCACTGATTGCTTTGAAATTTACACACAACATAGCAATCGAACAGACACATGTTTTTATGTTTTTACATATCTATGACATAGATGTCACACCTGTGACAGGTAAAAATAGGCTTTGCTTCAAAAACAGCACCATCTGCTGGACATCAAAGCAACACACGCTATAGACATATTTTATGATTCTATTTCAATCTTTCCGAATGCAATGCTAAATTTAATTTTCATAGATTTTGGTTTAGTTTAATTTTGATTTAATTATTTTGTATGACATTGTGTTGGAATTGAGATGTGTCATTTATCATAGCGTTCACTTCGTGAGTATAGCTTATTGGGTTTTTTAATGTTTGCCACACATGCACAAAGTCTCTCTCCCTCTGCATGGAGGCGCATGGCAGGGGCGGGCCTCAGAGGGCACCTTCGCCTTACCCTTTCAACGCTACTTAAATCCGAAGTTGCACCAGAAGTAGAGGGTAGAGGGTGTGCGCCTCAGCCACACACCCACTCAGCTGAAGTTGCACCAGAGGTAGAGGGAGTGCACCTTGGCCACACACCCACTCAACCGAAGTTGCACCAGAGGTAAAGGGATTGCACCTTGGCCACACACCCACTCAGCTGAAGTTGCAACAGAGTTAGAGAGAGTGCGCCTTGGCCACACACCCACTCAGCTGAAGTTGCACCAGAGGTAGAGGGAGTGCGCCTCGGCCACACACCCACTCAGCTGAAATTGCACCAGAGGTAGAGGAAGTGTGCCTTGGCCATACACCCACTCAGTCAAAGTTGCACCAAAGGTAGAGGGAGTGCGCCTCAGCCACGCACCCACTCAGGCAAGCCTCTTTGGGCAGGTAAGGTAGGCCTCACCTCTTGAGCTCTGTGTGTTTATTTGGCTGCGCGGGCATGCGTATCACACCCCCTCTGTTGGGTTTCCCTAACATTAATGTTCCCCCCTACTCTTCAATGGATCCAATTATACAGGAAATATTTGCCCAATACCATCTGGGAACCCTGAGAAGAGGAACTGTGGCTCTCTCGACAAATGGCAAAAGACTTCTTGGGGTTTTTGCTCTCCAGGCTTTGGTGATCAGTGTTAAAAGGGTGTCAAGGATCAGCACAATTGCTCTTGATTGCCGCTTAATTGCTCTTTGTTGGTGTTAGACGTCTCCTGGTCTGATTGATCTCGCCCTGTTTTTCCATCATCGTTGCCGCATCCCTATTATCTCCTTGTAAGTCAACCGCAAGCTGATTTCTACAACTTGAATAATTCACATTGCCAGGCTGCTAAATGGCTTAAAATAGTATCGTATTTTCAAGTTAAAAGCCCAAGCCTTGAAGCCTCATTTCATTCTTGGTCTGTGCATTAAAACACGCACTCCCTATATTAGGAATACCAACAACTGCCTTATATGTTGGCTTAGAATGATGGCCAGGTGCAATTGACAGATTCTAACACAGCATTTCTCAACCTGGGGGTTGGGATCCACGGGGGGGGGGGGGGGGGGTCATGAGGGTGTTTCAGAGGGGTCACCAAAGACCATAAGAAAACATCTGTTTCTAATGGTCTTAGGGACCCCTTTGGCAGAGAAGACTGAAGATCTCTGCCTGTCCTTCTCTTCCTTTTGGAAACAGATGGCAAATACTCCAACCAAAAGCCCTTCTCCACTGTGATTGGCCGGCCTCTCAGCCAAGGGGAGGGCTGTATCTGAGACTCCAAGCGGGGAGGGGAGAGCAGAAGTGCTCGGCGCATGGTAGCCTGGTCCGCATGTGCAGGCAAGGGAGTGTGTGAGGGTAGAGGGAGGTTCACGCCAGTCAGTCCCTCCAAGGTATTAGGTTTCTGTGTGGGAAGTTGGCCCAATTCCATCGTTGGTGGGGTTCAGAATGCTCTTTGATGTATTATTATTAGTATTGTTATTGTATTATTTTATTATTTATTATTTACAGTATTTATATACCGCTTTTCTCACCCCTAGGGGGACTCAAAGCGGTTGTTATTATTATTCCTAAATTCCATTATTATTATTATTATTCCTACATTCAATCAGATCCTACATTCAATCAGATCCATGCATCATCATTCTTAAATTACATTAGATCCATGTATCTGATTTTTCACTTTGTATTTTGCACTGTTTTATTTTACTCTTATGTCTTACATAATTTAATGTGATGGGTTTTTTTGCCGTTCTATATTTATTTTGCTGTAATGTATTACCGGGCTTGGCCTCATGTAAGCCACCCCGTGTCCCTTCTGGGGAGATGGTGGCAGGGTATAAATAAAGTTTATTATTATTTATTCTTATTATTACTACATTCCATTAGAGCCATACTATCATTCCTAAATTCCATTAGATCTATTATTATTATTATTATTATTATTATTATTATTATTATTATTCCAGAGGTGGCTGGTGCTTCCATTGAAAGGGACCTACAGGGTGGTGACATTTATCCTTCAAATAGGCTCAGTACCTTGGATAGCTCCTTTGCCATTCAGTCTAAAACCTGGGGCTGATTCATTGCCCCACTATCTTCAAAGTCACCATTTACTGCCAATATGTGGGGCCGAATGACGTGAGTTCAGACACAACAAAGGAGATATTCTCTTCAGACCAGTAACAGGTTGAAAGGCAGGAAGGAGCCAAACTTTGCTCCTCTCTGCCGCTTTGATGCACCATGGAGCTCATTGCTTATGATTCCGCAGTACCAAAACAGCAAGGAAAAGCCTGATTGATACAGTGGCTCGCTTGGCAAGGTGTAATTTCCGCGGCTATTTCTCCCTGTGCAGCCATAAGAATGCAAAGAGTCAACGGAAGCCTATATTTTATTGCAATATAACTTTTAAAGTGCACCGAAATACTCTTCATTTGTCGCAATTGTGGAAAGCACTCCGTTTCATATCTCTGTTAGGTGGCTGGCCTGCAGCCTTTCCCACTTTCGTGTCACAGCAAGAACATGCCATTTCTAACAGCCCTTGTTACATTATTTTGTAGTTGCTTTTTCGAGTGACTTTCTCCTTCCTCCTGCACAAAATCTATCAAACCCCTCCTCAGTGAGGTGTTGCAATATATTTCTTAGGATGTTTTGGATGATTCATAGTCTCCGGATTCATAGTCCTGTGCTCTAACCATTATACCACATCTATCTTGTATATCTTACTGTTTTAAATGCTTTGAACTTCTGGTTTTAATGTTTTAAAAGCCTCAGATTTAAATGTTTTAATGTTTCAGACTTCTAGAGAGCATCAACATGCAAAAATACCCTGTATCCCACCTTAACTATATTATCATTATTTGAAACACAGCAAGGTGAGTCCACAGCAAACAAGATCACTCTGCTGGCTGTTGTATTGGATCACACGTCGGACACTTCCCAAGTGTCTAGGACTGTGTGATGTATCGGCAAATAATGTGTGTAGATCCCGGTAGGATAGCCTTTTGCAGCTGACAGATGGTAATTTTGTCAGTGTTGATTGTGTTTAAGTGCAGGCCAAGGTCCTTAGGCACTGCACCCAGTGTGCCGATCACCACTGGGACCACACTGACAGGCTTGTGCCAAAATCTTTGCAGTTCAATCTTTAAATCCTCATATTGCATAAGCTTTTCCAGTTGCTTCTCATCAATTCTGCTGTCACCTGGGATTGCAGCATCAATGATTCATACTTTTTTTTCTACTCCCAGAAATCCCAGCCAGTTTACCAGCTAATGGGGTTTAGATGAAACTGTCATATACCGGAGTAGAAACACCTCTGACCTTAAACACCACAGCAGCTTGGTAAAATTAGCAAGCGGTTAATTGAAGATTATATGTAGGCAAAGCTTTAAAAAATAGCAAAACAGGAAAGTGCCAATATATAAAATAGCCATAATCTTTAAAGGGAAACAGGATCCATGGGAACATAAAAATCCATGAAACTAGGTAGCAGGAAAATCTCATAGGCAAATCTTAAGCTTGGCAAAACTCGGTACATGAAACTGAGACCACTTGAAAGCATGACAGTGATAAAATAATAATGTTGACTCGACTGAGGCAACTTTCTCCCACGAATCATTAGAAAGCTTTTCAGATCCCAAAACAGAAAGGAAAGCATTTCTCTTGACCTTCCCACCAGATAAAGGTTTGTTATATCTCTTTCGATGTAGACGAACTGATTGTCTCAGTTTCTGAAGACTTTGTCTCTGTTTACTAAAAGTCCGCTTTGTATCCAAGTTTCATTATCTTCTCTCGCATTAGCTTCTACACCTGACAAATCATCTTCAGACAGTTGCTCTGAGAAAAGCTGTGATGGGCCTCTCCCAAGAATGTTGCCTTGTGAATCTTCCTGAGACAGCTGAGGCCTCTCGTCTGAGCTTAATTCAGGGCTCAGTGAACCCTCATCCCCAATGCCAACAGACCCAGGCTCACTATTAGGAACATCATCCCCATTCCCGTCATGAACATAGAATCATAGAATCATAGAGTTGGAAGAGACCTCATGAGCCATCCAGTCCAACACCATTCTGCCAAGAAGCAGGAAAATTGCATTCAAAGCACTCCTGACTGGTGGCCATCCAGCCTCTGTTTAAAAGCCTCCAAAGAAGGTGCCTCCACCACACTCCAGGGCAGAGAGTTCCACTGCTGAACAGCTCCCACAGTCAGGAAGTTCTTATTAATGTTCAGATGGAATCTCCTTTCTTGTAGTTTGAAGCCATTGTTCCGCGTCCTAGTCTCCAGGACAGCAGAAAACAAGCTTGCTCCATCCTCCCTATGACTTCCTCTCACATATTTATACATGGCTATCATGTCTCCTCTCAG